ACCCCCAACAAGTAAACGACTCCCAAGCACGAGACTGGTTCAAAGGCTGAGCTGACGAAGGTCCCAACAACTGTTTCCCCACTGAACATTCAATCGACCCAAAACCTAGCTGGCTAGATGATTCTGGTGGTGCAACTACTGGTAGAACTGCTAACCCTGCTCTCTTCTTCTGGGGACACACCGAAGACTTGTGGCCTAACTGACCACATCTGAAACAGCTAGCAGATCCCCTACTCTGAGGCTGGCATGAAACCCGAACCTCTCTGAACCCCCCAACAGAAGAGTCCGAAACCCCGTACGAAGAAAAGGACACAGCCTAGGACTGAACACACTTTCGCCTCCACTTCTTACTGGGCCTAGAGTACCTATAAGCCGTAGGAGTTACCGAAATGGCCTCCTCCCTACTCCAACCAACATTCCCAACCATGGCCTCTTCCCTATTCTGGCCCATAGCTAGCACTGCTGCCTCCACATGGGCCGCAGCCCCGACAAGCACACTATAGCTCCTATGACAAGCCGTAGGAGTTATCGAAATGGCCTCCTCCCTACTCCAACCAACATTCCTAACCATGGCCTCTTCCCTATTCTGGCCCATAGCTAGCACTGCTGCCTCCACATGGGCCGCAGCCCCGACAAGCACACTATAGCTCCTATGCCAAAACCCAGCAATCCTTTCCCGGATGCTATCGCATAGCCTACCCTCAAACTCTGAACAACGCAATTCCTCCGTCTCCACCAATTCCGGGGCAAACCTTGACAGATTAGCAAACCATGCCTCAAACTGCACCAAAGGAGCAGTACCTTGGCGTAATTCCATAAACTGTTTCCGAAACTCTTCCCGTGCGGAAGGAGGGAAATCACAACTTCCTCGTCTAGTCATCCTAGTAAAAGTAACAAAGGTATTAGCACAACAACAAAGGTACCGAAACTATAATGCTAGCGTCCTAACACGATGGACAGCTGTAATTCATTCCACGTAAGCACATAAACTCCTAAACACTTACGAATTTCATTTCCGGATAATGATAGTCTCGAGGCGTTACTAGAGTTCCGGTTAGAAACAGCATTGATCAGGTGCCTTTCCAACAGGCCTCCCAGAAACCCAAGGATCCAATCAACATCCAAGAAACTATATTCCATACCCACATAGTCACATAAACATGTTGTCACATAAGCACCTAGCATTACACCTAAGTCTCTAACAAGCGAGATAAACCCAGTGTGATTCTAATCACTTCCCACGTACCCAAAGTATTCGACCCCGGTACGCTCTGATACCAAGTTGTCACGCCCTCAAAATAATACATAAAACCCATCATTTTAGACATGCAATGATGTACGAGAAAATAAATATCTTTCTAATAATGAGAGTAGCTCTTACAGAAATATTACATGCTACTAACAAACAAATGCCCTACGGGCTTACAACTTTCCAAGTTAACACATGGTTACAAAAAGAGAAGAGTACTAACTCAATACATCTTAAGCCCTTGACTTGAATTTACATATAATACATCAAAGAAAGCAAAACAACAAAAGCAGTCTGTCTGCCTCTTGCCTCCCAAACTACGCCCTTGGAAGTGGCATGCTTCCTGTACCTGAAAATGGTGTCCCATATAGGGTGAGCCACAGCCCAGTAGAAATACACTAAACCAACTATAAACAATGACTAAGATAATAGCGTTCAATGGGTGGTCCACACTTATATTCCAATTTATTCCGTGTTACAATTTCAAGACAATCATGTCCATGTTACATTCACTTTCCGTTTCTTATCCAATTCTCAATTCATAACTGTGACTCAGAACCTGGTCAAACAACCTATATGAGACAGACACTCATATTAAGCATTTACATTTCGCAATAGATAAGCATACTAGCTATATCAATACATCAATAGATAACCACACAAGCTGTGTCAATACATCAACAAATAAGCATATTAGCTGTATCTGCACTTCAATAGATAAGCATATGAGCTTTATCTGCACTTCAATAGATAAGCATATGAGCTGTATCTGCATAACACAATTTCCGGTTTAGAGGTCCAGCCCCTTTCTTCCAATAAACCTTCCGGTTTAGAGGTACAGCCCATTTCTTCCAATAAACCGTGGAGTACAGCCCATTTCTCCTCCCACACAAACAATGTATATAAACAGTTATCATGTACAATTAATCAATACATAAAGTTAATGTATTATTCCAATCGCTATATTCAATAGTACACTTAATCGATTAGTTTTAGTCTGCCTAATCATCATGCATTGTCTACAACAATCAAGACTATCCTCTACCGATAGCCCAAAGCAGTTATTTATAAACAGAAAATAAATGCGCCAAATGGGTAAATTATTGACATTTCAATTTGGTGAGTGATAAATAATCCAACTACACCCTTTAATCCCATACATTCCCAATTCCAACATTTTCAATTCCATTTTCCATTTCTCACATTTATTTCACAAATTAATTTAACAATGCAATTAGGGCATTTCCCATAATTAACAAGACAACCCTAAGGTTTCATTTCTATCAACAACCTAACATTCATCTCATTTCTCTATGCCCAACATGCATATAGGTAATAATAAATAAAACCCCAACTTTTGTGAAATTACACAAAGACCCAAACTTTCTCAAAATTACCCAACGACCCTCAACATACCAAAATGCTAAGATTCAAAGACAAAACTCATAAGGAGGAGTAGGATATCCCTACCTCGAAGTTGGAGCTCAAACGGAGAAGAAGACCAAACTCAAAGTGTTCCAAACTCTAAACTTTTCGGATCAAAACGTAGCCCTCGACGATCAGCACATTTTTTGTAAAGGAAAAAGGGTAGAAGAACACTCTAACTAGATCAATCCTAAGAGAGAAGGGAGATTCTAGAGAGAGGAGCTCTCAAAATGGCTTTTCAGAAAAGTAAGAAAGAGAGTGAAAGTTGAAAAATGATTCAAGAATGCCCAGCTACCAACTGATATACGCATGATCCGCTCGAGCGAAGAATAGAACGCTCGAGCGTCAAGCACAAAAACTGGACCCACTCTAGCGCAAGAAGTCCCGCTCGAGCACCAAGACACAAGAACAAAATACATCCGCTCGAGCGCGAAAACCAGTTCGCTTGAGCGTAGATTACCCCCTCTCAGAACTTTCACAGACAATGAACACCCCGCTCGAGCGCCAACAGACCCGCTCGAGCGTGACCCGCTCGAGCGTAAGGAAGCCCGCTCGAGCGTGAAAAACACATCTTCAGAACTTTTGCAGAAACACAGATACTGGAAGTGTGAAAACTCCGCTCGAGCGTGAAATGGTCCACTCGAGCGTACAACCAAAAATCCAACTTCGCTCGAGCGCAAAGGTACTCGCTCGAGCGTACCACTAAAACTCTGGGCAACAAGGAAAGGGACTAAGGCTCAACCAACCTGTTCGAAACACGCCCAACGCATCCTAGAACTCAGACATACGGAATTTAAAGGATGACAATAGGACATACAACCACCAACTCCACGGAACCTAAGACCAGAACACTGTATATAAAGGGGACAAACCCGGGATCGCTGTAAAACAGGTCAAATTACATAGGAAATATCTACATCATCTACACCAAAGGACTACATAAAGAATGTAGACACAGAGAAAAATGTATGCACTATCATTGAACTAAACTCCATCTAAAAAAAAAAAAAGGCACTCATTCACTCTCATACGAAATCTGACTTAACTGTTAGAGTGCTAATCCTGTCACCTCCAACTGAAGTGTTTCCTATTTTAGGTATTGGAGCGAGGATCAAACATAGGCCCAAACCAAACTAGGCCCATTGAACTGTCGAGGAATGAAACGCCGAGCGGCATGTTCGCCGATCAAATGATGTGCCAAGTAAGTGATATTGATAGAATGGGCAAACAACTATGTTGAGTACCAAAGTGGGCCTAGGTTGTCCCTTTCCGAAGGTGTAGTTAGAACTTGGGTCTTCACATTCAAATGATGATGACAAACAGGTCAAATTACATAGGAAATATCTACATCATCTACACCAAAGGACTACATAAAGAATGTAGACACAGAGAAAAATGTATGCACTATCATTGAACTAAACTCCATCTAAAAAAAAAGGCACTCATTCACTCTCATACGAAGTCTGACTTAACTGTTAGAGTGCTAATCCTGTCACCTCCAACTGAAGTGTTTCCTGTTTTAGGTATTGGAGCGAGGATCAAACAAAGACCTGTTTGGGACGAAGGAATATTGAAAAATCACTCCTCACATTTGCTAAATAAACATGATAGTCAGATGACTAGTGTACTCATTGAAGTGTAGTTGTTGGTGTGTTTGTAGATGGTGTGATGGCTGGTGTCGTCGTCAGTGTATGCTCGACATCGATTTATGCTCGTCCATGTTGGGAGTATTGCTTTTTGAACAAAAGAAAAAAAAAATTGTGTAATGAGAAACCAGTTAAGTGATTTGTGAAGGGTGCAATTTATGATTAGTTTTGATATTAGGAAGGGTCTAACAAGAAGTAATTAAAAATTTTCTTTAAAGATGTATAATAAGCTAAAAGTATCATGTAAATATAATTACCCAACATATACTGGTTTGATTTTTTGATTTGTGGTTTGCTTATTTAGGTGTTGTTTAGGATGCAAGGTTGGAAATAAATTAGTCAATAAAGATAAAACAGAGTATTTCACATTTAATTTATAATTTTTTTTTTATAATTATCAAATTAATTATAAAAAATAAAAAAAAACTATCATTGTCCCAAACATAAATTTTTTTAATCAAGTTAAAATAATAAATAATCAAAAAGTCAAGTTAAAAAAATTCATTCTAAACAAAAACTTATTAATTTTTTAATTTTTACAAAATAATAATAATAATAATGTTGTGACAGCTTATAAACTACTTATTAAATTTGTGCCCAAATCAATTGATTGTGATGTTTTTAAAAGGATGATTGATTTGTGGAAAAATGAGAAATTAGAAGAACGCCTTTTGAGGAGGCATAGGTTGATTTTTCGAGATTCTAAATCAAGGGTGACTACTGACCCTCCCTCCTCCGCCACATCCTCCACCTCCAGTCCCCTCACAGGGAAAGACACCCAAAAAGGAAAAAGAAAAGGAAAGAAAAGAAAAGAAAAGAAAATTCACACCCAGCGAGTTTGTTTGATACTATTTTATTTATTTATATTATTTTTTATATTTCTATTATTCATAAAGACTACAATAATCTCAATGTTACTTTTTCTTCCTCTCCTCTCTTCCAGTATTCTCCGATTTTATTAAGCGTATATAGATATAATGGACAAGGAGAAATTCTTCAGAGATTTCATGTGAAGAGAGGTAAAAATTTCTGACCTCTCTGTTTTACTTTTTCTCCCTCTCCTCTCTGTTTTATTATTTTTTATTTTTTATTTATTTGGATGCAGCCTGCTGCGTTTTTTTCAAATGAGTTTAACAATTATTAAATATATATATATATAGAAATCATTTCATCATCATTATTATGAGCAAAACATTTATATATATATGTGAATTGATAAATATGAGTTAGATTTGTCTAACAAAATTCATTGTCATTAATTAGTAAGGGGTGGGGTTGGGGATGTGGTTGTTGTAAGTTACCTTCTGGAGTCTTTTGCTGTTTTGTAATCTCTCCTGTTTGTGTGATTATTATTATTATTATTTATTACTCCCCAGCCTTCCATTCCCCTCCATCACACCTACCATTCCTATATTCATCCTCCTCCTCCTCCTGCAGTTGGGTCAATGAATAATAATAATAATAATAACAGATCTGTTTTGTTTCAAATCATTTTTTTTTTCTGCGTAGGATCTGTTTTTGTGTGTGTCTGTCTCTCTCTCTCTCTGACATTATTTGGTAGAGGGGTTCTGAGAATGATCGGTCTCCTTGTTAGTGCGAGTTATTATTATTAAATATATTCCAATCTCATCTATTTATATGATATGATTTGATGTAAGGTAAGGTAAGGTAAGGTAAGAGCCTCCTCACCCAACTTCAATTTTTTGGTTATTTGTTTGTTTGCTTGATTGATTGCTTTTCCGATTCCATTTACACTCCACTCTTGTTCTGCCGGTTCCAATAATTTCCACCATTTCACATTTACTAATAATTTTTCCATTTTGTGCTAAGGTTGATCTGTGTTTTCCAGCTTTCTTCCCCATATATTTTGCCTCTTTTTTTTCTGGGTAGGAATAGGCAGAGGACAAAAATACATTCGTTTAGGAGATTTTGTTAAATTTGTTGAGTTTTGTTCTTCAGCCAAATAATTGCATACTTTCTATTTTCCTTTTTCTTTTTCTTTTTTTCTTTTGTTTTTGGTTGGGTGAATTGTGTTCGGCGATGATGGTGGTGGAATGGAGTGGGCATTTCTTTGAATAATTTTGTATGTGTTGAGTATTGTGGTTTGATTAATAATAATATCGTTTGGTGTTGGTGTGACAGATAGACAGACTGTGAACAAAGAGGGAGGGAGGGAGGGAGGGAGGAATTATTAAAACAGATATATATATATATATATATACAGAATATGGACGAAATGGCAGCAGCAGCAGCACGAGGAGGAGCAAGGTATTGGTGTCACATGTGCTCCCAAATGGTGAACCCAGTCATGGAAGCAGAGATGATGATGATCAAGTGTCCCTTGTGTCATAGTGGGTTCGTTGAGGAAATGGACTCCCCCCCTGTAGACCACCACCACCCATTCCCCAATGACTACTACCACTTTGGAGGTGGAAGTGGAGGTAGAGAAACTCGAATTGGAACTGAATCTGAATCTGAATCCGACCATGCCCTCTCCCTCTGGGCCCCAATTTTGCTTGGCATGATGAGCAATCACCGTGGCCGCAGAAGATTCAGAAGAAGAAGACTAGAATTTGAAGATGAATATTATGAAGAAGATGAGAGCGGCAACAACAACAACAATAGCAGCAGCAGCAGCCAGCAGGAAGGAGAGAGTGAATTAGATCGGGAACTAGAATCCATCATTCGCAGGAGGAGGAGGAGCTCAGCCACCATTCTCCAACTTCTTCATGGTATTCGAGCTGGGATGCTTTCTGAATCAGACAACTCTGAAAGTGAGAATAGGGACAGAAATAGGGATAGGAATACTAATGAAATTACAGACAGAGAAGGTGTGATTCTGATCAATCCCTTCAATCAGACTATTAAACTTGTGCCCAAAGGTGGTGGTGGTGGTGGTGGTGGTGGTGGTGGTAGTGGTTCTTCTTATGATTATTCATCAAACAATTCCCGAAACCACCAGAATCACAACCCAAACCCCATTGGCTCTTTGGGGGATTATTTCATAGGTCCTGGTTTGGACTTACTGCTGCAGCATTTGGCCGAGAATGATCCAAACAGATATGGAACCCCACCAGCCCAGAAAGAAGCAGTAGATGCAATGCCCACTGTGAAAATTGCGGAGAATATGCACTGTTGTGTCTGTTTGGAAGACTTTGAGATTGGGACAGAAGCCAAGGAGATGCCTTGTAAGCATAAGTTCCATAGTGGTTGTATTCTGCCTTGGCTGGAGCTTCATAGTTCCTGTCCGGTTTGCAGGTATCAGTTGCCTTCAGATGAATCAAAGTTTGATTCTGATGGGTCTAGGAATAATAATAATAATGGTGGGGAGAGTTACAATGGCAATGGCAGCTTTGGTGAAGAAGAGGGGGGAGAGGGATGATGATGACAATGACGATGGTAGAAATGGAAATGGGAGACAGTTTTCATTGCCTCTTCCTTGGCCTCTCAGTAGTTTGTTTACATTATCCTCAAGGAATGGGAATGGGAATTCCAATTTCTCCTCAGCAACATGGTCTTCAATGTCAGCATCATCAACAAATGCAGCCAGAAATGCTTCTAATATGGATGATGAGAATTGAGTATGTTACTACTACTGCTGCTAGAATAATCACTGAAGTAGTAATACATACTTGGCAGCAGCTTCTTGTGCTCTCTATGTTGCCTGGATGTTCCTTTGCCTTGCTTGTTTAATTATGTATGTACATACTCCTTAGTGTTTTCCTTGCTATATCATATTCTTGTGTAGGAAGAGAGGAGAAAAAAAAAATACCACAATTTGTTGTACTTTTTGATCTATTGCATGTGTCTTCAATATATAGATCTTCTGTTTTTCTATAAACATTTTCATCTTGGGCGGATTGGATTAGATTGGATTAATATTTCCATAACTAATAGTCTTAGGACTACGAATCCCCTTAAATTGTGTATCTTATTTTATGTTTGGATTGAGTTAGGATTATAAGGAGGGATTAACAAAATATTATCCAATCCGATGTTTGTATAAGAGGATTGAAATTGATGGAACATGACATGACATGGGACATCCAATATATTAGCCATAATATCTTTATTATGGTCATTTGATAAGTTAGTCCAGATTTTGACTTAGTCTCCCAATTTATATCCTACCCCCAATGTGGGATTGAATAGTCCGTCATATATAGGATACCACATCCGAATGGATTATTACTCCGTACTTCATATATTAGACCAGCTATGTTGTATGGGACGGAGTGTTGGACAACTAAGAAACAACATGTAGATAAGATGAGTGTGGCTGAGATGAGGATGCTAAGGTGGATGTGTGGTAAGACTAGACAGGACATGATTAGGCATGAGTGTATTCGGGAATGGGTAGGAGTAGCACCGATAGAAGATAAGTTGAGAGAGAATCGTTTGAGATGGTTTGGTCATATTCAACGGAGACCAACAGAGGCAGTAGTGAAGAGATCGATGCTGTAACGGTAGATGGAAGTGTTAGGGGACAGGGTAGGCCTAGATTAACGTTGACTAGCGTTATAAATAGAGATATGAATCTACTTAATTTGACTAATGAAATGGCTTTTGATAGGGCCGCGTGGAGAAGAAGGATTCATGTAGCCGACCCCATTTGATGGGACTTAAGGTTTCGTTTGGTTTGGTTTGGTTATTAGTCCAATCTCAAGTACATATCCACCAAACAAACATGGCCTTAGAGGAATACATTGTTAAAAATCGCACAAGATAAGCAAGACAACCTATGGCTAAAAACAAGATAAACAAAATAAGCTTTGGCTGGCTAGTCACGAGTGACCTATGCTTTCATCATTGGGAGTTTTTTTTTGGAGAGCCCCCTCCCTCCCTTAAGAACAAAAAACTTTGATCTGCCCAAGTGTAATCTTTGATCGGCCTTAAGAACTAAAAACGAGGTGTCTACAACATCATCTCATACATATGCATCACTTCTTACCTACTATAATCTAACATATCTCATCAGGGATGATCATTTTCTCTCACGTCGCTCCTCTCTTGCATCTTCCACTTCGCCCCGTTGAGAAAGATGGACGGGGACGGATTTTGCTTCTTCCGCCCCGTTTCACCTGACCGCATCCCAATTATATTTATTAAATATATTTATATGTGTATAATGTATATAATTTTATTTCTTTCACTATAATAAAATTAAAATACTAAAATATTATATTTGATATAATTTTTACACATTTATTTGTTATTTTATATTTTATAATTCTCATTAAATATAAATTATTATCCTTAATATACTATATTTTCTATAATTTTTATTAATATTTTCATTCTTCAACATACAAAATTAACTTGTCTCCCGCCTTGCACCAGCCACCGCCACCCCTGATTTGCCCCACCCCCAATATGTTATGAGGCAAGGGTGGATTCAAACCTGAATCATGATCATCCCTACACCTCACTCCACTCTCTCTCACACTCTCACACACACCTTACTTTTTTAATTAATAAAAAATAAAAATTATCTTTATAATTTTAAATTTATTTTATTTTGATAAAATATTTAATATTTAACATATTTAATAAAAATTTAAATTAGCTACTCAAAATATATAAAAACTTACATAATTAAAATGATTTTATGATTTAAGTTAATATAAATAATAAAATTCTCTAAATTGACCAAAGAAACAACATCGACAACTTCTACATTAAAAACAAAGGAAGCTTCGTTAGAGGAAATCGGAAGTACCGGGGGTTCGAATCCCTCTCCATCCGCGACTCGCTAGTCTAGCTCCATGGCACTAAAATGTTGAAATCACAGTCCCAAAAGAAATAAACAACCAATGGTCCATCCCATTGTGGGATTAGTAGTGGTGAACGATATAGATATTCAGTAATGACTACTGTCATGACCCAAAACCCGCCCCTATGGATTAGAGTTTAGCTGGCCAGTAATCACGAGATTACCTGTGGCCTCAGTCAAAAATCGAGTCATATTTAATAATAGGGGGACAAATTGCGAAAATAAAATTTACAAAGATTGTCCATTGAGCTGTGCATACATGGCTTAACCAAACATTCTCATAATCATTAATAACTCACACCATATGAACATTCATATTATATATATGTAATACATATATTTAGGATCATTTGGTAGTCAACATTAACAAAACCAAGGTTGTACAGAATTGGTCATACGTGACCTCAAAAGATTAAAAAGCAAGTAAAACAAAAATAAGGCCTCTTGCGTGAGACGACCTTGGTTGACCTCTCAAAACTTGGCTTCTCATTGCTCACTGGGGTGGAGGCTGGACATCCCGCTGCTCACCTACATACATATAAATAAAAGGTGAGCTAATGCCCAGTGAATAATACCAAAGCAAAGGAGTTCATGAACAAAGTTCTTATAATCATAATTCATTATTACGTTTGAGAAGGCAAAACGACCTCAGGTCCTTTCTATCATTTCTCAAACACAAAACGACCTCAGGCCCATATAGTATACAAAATGACCTTGGGTCCATCATGGGCAAAACGACCTTAGGTCCAACTTACAAACAAAATGACCTTGGGTCCATTACACACTGGACCTTAAGTCTAATACTCACAGAACGACCTTAGGTCCAATGCTTACAAAACGACCTTAGGTCCAATTCATATACACATTTATTGTATGCACACATTTAAATCTATGATCATATCCATTCTTGTGTCCAGAACGACCTTAGGTCCATATCTTTTCCCTATCCTAAAGGGCCTTCGGCCCATTTAATAATCATACAGAACGGTGTTTGGCCCAATTCACATCCTCATTGAATATATTGAACTGCCTTAGGCCCATTTCATACTCATACATTAATAGTTTTGTATATCTCATTCCGAATTGAGTGATTAGAACGCTTGTTCATAATATCACTTTAAGGGTTTAGGACCTTACCACATAGGCATCGTTTAGAAAATAATGCGTATACAAAAATATCTTTGCTAAGATATTACTCACTATGTTCTGGTGCTTGATTTGCCCTTGTACTTGACCGTACATAATTCACAACACATTGGGTCATAATGCCATTCAATCCGTTCTTTAGTTACTTAACATTCTTAGGCTTCTTTCGTGTCCTTTAATTCATTTACAATGTTTAATGCACGCCTAAAAGTGCTTAGAAATAAAAGAGAATGGAAAACAAAACATAAAGCAACTTTTCAAAATTTCTGAAACAGGGCTCTCCGCTCGAGCGAACTGCAAAGCTCTGTAAGAGTACTGGTTCCACGAATTTTACACTCGAGCGAGACTTTTGACGCTCGAGCGGGAAGTCTTGCAGAATAGGGTTCGCTCGAGCGCAAGGTTTGCCGCTCGAGCTACCGTGCAATTCATTGTAAAACTTCTGGGAGATTGATTTTCACGCTCGAGCAGACAGATCGAATTCTGGGTTTTCCAGAATTCTATTTGAAACTCAAAACACAAATCCAAAGGACCAATTTGAGTATAACTCACTCAATTATGCAAGAATATTCCGAAAAACATATATTTGAAGAGAACCTTCAACCACAGTTCAAAATTCTATAGGTTTAACAAATTTCAAACCATAAACTTTATATGTACAGAATTCATTTTTGTATCTTGCATGGACAAGCTTCAAGGCTTGAAATTAAGCTTCAACATATGGAGATTCTTACATGCATGTGTCAAACAACCTTCAATACAACATGATTAACATGCTTCATAGTCAAACATGCAAATTTGTGGCTAATCCTTACATGCATGTACATATTAACTTCAAATTCATTTCAATCAACTCAATTCTTGTTCTTAATTACATATCTTGCTTGAATTCACTTAGTTATAGATTTCAGCTCATGATTTTGAGTTCAATTACTCACCTAAGAGCTTCAACCCTTGAATTTTTGGCTAATTCTTGAGTCTAGCTTCCAAATGCTTCAATCTTGAGCTCAATTCTCCAACAATTTGGTCCATCTCTCTCTAAATCAAGTGTTTTCCCTCTCTAAAGTGTATAACTCAACCAAGAGGTGAGAAGATGAGCTCAAAATGTGAATTAGGCCCTTAATTAGTATATATATAGGCTTCACTAATCATATTTGCTAATTAAGGCTTAGGCCTAATCAAATGAACATAATTAAATCAGATTAATCTAATTATTTTGATCCAAATTAATTTTTAATTAAATTTTACCATAGGCTTTAAAAATCATGCTAAACGCAAAAACATAGTCAATTTCAGTTTTTATTGCCTCTACGGCCTTCAATTTAAATTTTATAACAGAAAGTCAAACAAATTTTCCTACGGTGAACAGATAGAAATTCACAAACACATATAATCATATAATTAGCATTCAAAATCATATTAAGCTCATAATTATAAGCATAATTAAGATTAATTAGCATAATCCAGAGTTGGGTTGTCACAATCTTCCCCCTTTTAGGAAGTTTAGTCCCCCAAACTTATGTTACCTTCCGTTGGAAACAAATATGGGTAGTGTTGTTGTTTTTCTTCTTCTTTCCCTCACGTGGCATCTTTACCATAATGTTCTTTCCATTCCACTTTCACCACTGGAATGGATTTGTTCCTTAGCTGCTTTACTTGTCGGTTGATGATTCGTTCTAGCCATTCCCCGTACTCCATATTTTCATTAAGTGCTATTCGGTGATAGTTGATCACGTGGAACGGATCTCGGAGATAACCACTTAACATTGATACGTGAAACACATTGTACATTTGTTCCATTCTCGGTAGTAAAACAACTCTATAAGCTACTGGACCAAGTCTTTCCAAAATTTGAAATAGCCCAATGTAATGTGGTGATAGTTTACCTTTCTTGCCGAACCTTAATTGGCCTTTCATCGGATTTACACGAATGAACACATGATCACCAACCTCATACTTAAGGGGCCTTCTTCTAACATCTACATAACTCTTTTGTCGGCTCTAAGCTGTCTTAAGCCTTTGTTGAATAACTTTGATTTTATCGATAGTTGTCTGCACAAGTTCAGGTCCAAGCAAGACTCTATCCCCAACTTCAGTCCAACATATTGGAGATCTACATTTTCGGCCATACAAAGCTTCATATGGTGCCATGCCAATGCTAGAGTGGAAACTGTTATTATTTGCAAATTCGGCCAATGGTAGGTAAGTCTCTCAACTCCCTTAAAAATCCAAAGCACACATTCCAAGCATATCTTCTAGAGTCAATATAGTCTGTTCTGATTGTCCATCAGTTTGTGAATGGAATGCCATACTAAACCTCAACTCTATTCCTATTGCCGCTTGAAGACTCTTCTAGAATCTAGATACAAATTTCGGATCTCTATCCGACACAATAGACACCGAAACTCCATGTAAACAAACAATTTCATCAACATAAATAGTAGCTAATCGATATGCATCATACGTAGTTTTTACAGGCAGAAAGTGAGCAGATTTAGTCAGTCTATCAACTATAACCCAAATAGAATTCATACTTATAGGTGTCCGAGGTGGGCCAACAACAAAGTCCATGGTTATGAGTTTTCATTTCCATTCCGGAATAAGGAGAGGTTGAAGTAGACCTGCTAGCTTTTGATGTTCAACCTTAACTTGCTGACACTGAAGACATCTAGACACATATTCTGCAATCTCACATTTCATATTTGGCCACCAATAATTCCGCTTTAAGTCCTGATACATCTTGTTGTTACCCGGATGCATAGTAAACATTGATTTATGGGCTCCATCGAGAATTCTCCTCTTTAACTCAAGAATATTCGGAACACACAATCTGTCTTGGAATTTCAGCACTTCATTTACAACACTATGTCCCGGTTTCGAATTTGCTTCAAATTCATCAACTATCTTTTTGAGGATTTCATCCTCCTTTTGTTTTTGTTTGATCTCATCGATGATTGCTGGTTCGGATGAAATAGCCACCATCAATCCACTTTGCTCATGTAATACCACTTCAATTCCGAATTTTTCAAATTCTTGCAAGATTTCCTTTAGTTCAGTAAGTAGGCAAGCTAAACTCCCCGTCGATTTTCTGCTTAAGGCATTAGCAACTGTATTGGCTTTCCCAGGGTGCTACTAAATTTGAAGATCATAATCTTTTATTAGTTCGAGTCATCTTCTCTGCCGCATATTCAACTCCTTCTGAGTAAGGAAATACTTCAAACTTTTGTGATCCGTGTAGACCTCGCATCTCGCCCCATACAAGTAATGCTGCAAAATTTTCAAAGCAAATACAACTGCGGCCAATTCTAGGTCATGTGTTGGGTAGTTCTTCTCATGTGGTCTTAATTGTCAGGAAGCATAAGCAATTACTCGTCCTTCCTACATTAATACACAACTCAGACCTTTATAAGATGCATCACTATAAATCACAAAGTTTTCCGTACCTGTGGACAATGTTAACATTGGTGCAGTAGTCAATCTTGTTTTCAGTTCTTGGAAGGCAGATTCTCTTTCATCATCCCATTCAAATGGTTGTCCTTTGCGTGTCAGTTGGGTAAAAGGTACAGCTATTTTTGAAAAATCCTTTACAAATCTTCTATAATACCCAGCTAAGCCCATGAAACTGTGAACTTCTGTTACATTTGTTGGTGTAGGCCAATTTATAATTGCCTCTATCTTCTGTGAGTCCACCGAAATCCCATCTCTGTTGATGACATGCCCTAAAAAGACAACCTCATCTAACCAAAATTCATATTTCTTCAATTTAGCAAATAATTTATTGTCTCTAAATGTTTGCAAACGGTTCTCAAATGTTGTTCATGTTCAAGTCTACCCTTTGAATATATTAGGATATCATCAATATAAACCACAACAAATTCATCAAAGTAAGGCTTAAAAGTTCGATTCATAAGATCCATAAATGTTGCAGGGCATTAGTCACTCCAAACGTCATAACAAGAAATTCATAGTGACTATACCTCATTCTGAATGCGGTTTTCTCGACATCTTCTACCTTTACCTTCAATTGGTGGTACCCAGATCTCAAATCAATTTTAGAAAATACTTGTGAGCCTTGCAACTAATCAAACAAGTCGTCAATACGGGGTAAAGGGTATTTATTCTTTATCGTTACCATGTTCAGTTCTCGGTAGTTAATACATAGGCGTAAAGTCCCATCTTTTCTTTTTCACAAATAATACCGGTGCGCCCTGCGGTGAAGTACGTGATCAGATAAACCCCTTGCCAAGTAGATCTTGTAATTGTTCTTTTAGTTCTTTCATTTCAGCTATAAACATCCTGTATGGAGTCTTTGAGATAGGCTAGGTGCCTGGGACAACATCAATGGTAAACTCTATTTCTCTGTTAATCAATCCCCCTGGAAATTCATCAGGAAATATAGCCGGAAACTCTCTAATAACGGAGATACTATCCATTTCAACACTCACAAATTGTTCAGTCAAGATACTACATAAATAACCCTGGCACCCCTTCATAAGCAGTTTACATGCTTTCATTGCTGAAATCAGATAAGGTGGAGGTACTACCCCATTACCCACAAATTCAAATTCAACATGCCCTGGTGGTTTAAACACAACCCGTTTTGTCATACAATTGATAGTGGCACAATATTTCGATAGCCAATCCATACCTAGAATTATATCAAAGTGCCGAATGTCCAAGGGTAACAAATCCGCATATAAAATATTATTGCCAAGCATATCACAAACACGATACACAGATGTACATAATACAAGATTTCTAGATGGAACAGATACACATAGTAAATATGGCAATGATTCTAGGGGTTTAGTCAATCTAGATGCAAATATAGTAGACACAAAGGAATGTGTTGAGCCGGAATCAATTAACACAAAAGCATTTTGATTGCATAGAGAGATAGTACCTGAGACAACAGCTTTAGTATTCCGTGTGTCACCTGGGACAAGTGCAAAGACTCTCCCATGTCTCATTGTGTCTCTAGCGGCAACAGGCCTTCTAGTATTACCCAATTTTGGGATGGATCCGGTCGAACTAACAGCTGGTTTCCCACCTTTTTGCTATTCAGTTTAGGTGCAATCCCTTGCCATATGCCCAATTTCACCACACCTATAGCATGCCCCGGAAATACGGTAACAAACCCCGCGATGCTTCTTACCACATTGAGTACATGTTGGTGCTGTATTTCTGGTGGAGCCCGAAGTACTCGAGGACCCTGTATTTTGTTTCTTTGATGATTTCTTCCCTAAGAAAAAGCCTTATCTCTTAGCCTTCCAGTCAGCTAGTGGTTTACCTCGGTTGGCCATGTTAGCTTTTGACATCAAAGCTCGGTCTAACACATCAACATAAGTGGGCAATTTCAGTACATTCACCCTTTCCAAAATATCATTACGAAGACAATTATCAAACTTTCTCGCTTTTTTATAGTGGGTGTCAACCATATGTGGAGCGAATCTAGCCAATTCGGTGAACTTGGCTTCATACTCAGCTACAGTCAGACTACCTTGTATTAGCCCCTCAAATTCCGACACATTTCTATTGTGAACACACTGTGGAAAGTATTTCTCATAAAATAGTGCAAGAAACTGTGCCCAGTCAATGCCTTTGTTATCATCACTTATTAGCATCCACCACCTTCTTGCCTCATCTTCCAATGTAAAAGTGGCCAATTGTACTTTTTGTGTCTCCAGGCATGGTAATACCTCAAATAACTTTTCAATACCAAGGACCCAAGCTTCAGCCTTCAATGGGTCCACACCCCCATGGAACAGTGGTGGCTTAATTTTCTTAAATTCTTTAGTCAGGGCTATTGTTCGGTTGTCATTTTGCATATCCGGTATAGGTTGTACCGAAGGTGGGGGTTGCAGATGTTGCCACTGTTGTTGCCACTGCTGTTGTTGCCTTAGTGTTTTTGCCATGTCTTGCATCATTCTCTCCATTCGGTCTAGCCGAGTAGTAGAGGACTCTTCTAGCTCATCGGCTCTTGTTCTCACCATTATCTAATAAGACTTGCATTATAATTCAAACAAAAGATATATCCAATATTCATGTACATTCATACAACTAGGCAACAATTATATTCCATATGGTTGCATACTTTCGAATCACTTAACAATTTCCCAATGCATTCAAGCATACATTTATCTTATGAATGCAACTTAGATCTTTTCTAGACACTCTATTGTTCATTTGGACAGGTGTGTGAGTTATTACTCGTGCTCTGATACCACTCTGCCATGACCCAAACCCGTCCCTATGGATTAGAGTCATAACCAACCAGTAATCACGAGATTACCTGCGGCCTCAGTTAGAAAGCGAGTCATATTCAATAATAGGGGGCCGAATTGCGGAAGTAAAATTTACAAAGATTGTCCATTGAGCCGTGCATACATGGCTTAACCAAACATTCTCATAGTCATTAATAACTCACACCATACGAACATTCATATTATATATATGTAATACATATATTCAGGATCATTCGATAGTCAGCATTAACAAAAGCAAGGTTGTATAGAATTGGTCATACGTGACCTCAAAAGATCAAAAGGCAAGTAAAACAAAAATAAGGCCTCTTGCGTGAGGCGACTTTGGTTGACCTCTCAAAACTTGGCTTGTCGTTGCTCACTGGGGTTGAGGTTGGACATCCCGCTGCTCACCTACAAAAATAAAAAGTGAGCTAATGCCCAATGAATAATACCAAAGCAAAGGAGTTCATGAACAAAGTTCTTATAATCATAATTCACGATTACATTTGAGAATCAATAATAAGGCAAAACGACCTCTGGTCCTCTCTATCATTTCTCAAACACAAAACAACCTCGAGTCTATATAGTATACAAATCAACCGTGGGTCCATCATGGGCAAAACGACCTTAAGTCCAACTTACACACAAAGTGACCTTGGGTCCATTACACACTGAACGACCTTAAGTCCAATACTCACAGAACGAACTTAGGTCCAACGCTTACAGAACGACCTTAGGTCCAATGCTTACAAAATAACCTTAGGTCCAATACTCACAAAACGACCTTAGGTCCAATGCTTATAGAACGACCTTAGGTCCAGTACTCACAGAACAGCCTTAGGTCCAATGCTTACAGAACGACCTTAGGTCCAATGCTTACAAAACAACCTTAGGTCCAATTCATATACACATTTATTGTGTGCACACATTTAAATCTATGATCATATCCATTCTTGTGTCCAGAACAACCTTACGTCCATATCTTTTCCTTATCCCGAAAGGCCTTCGGCCCATTTAATAATCATACAGAACAGCCTTAGGCCCAATTCACATCCTCATTGAATATACTGACCGACCTTAGGCCCATTTCATACTCATACATTGATAGTTTTGTATATCTCATTCCGAATTGAGTGATTAGAACGCTCGTTCATAATATCACTTTAAGGGTTTAAGACCTTACCACATAGGCATCATTTAGAAAATAATGTGTATACAAAAATATTTTTGCAAAGATATCACTCACCGTGTTTTGGTGCTTGATTCGCCCTTGTACTTGACCCTACATAATTCACAACACATTGGGTCATAATGCCATTCAATCCGTTCTTTAGTTGCTTAACATTCTTAGGCTTCTTTCGTGTCCTTTAATTCATTTACAATGTTTAATGCACGCCTAAGAGTGCTTAGAAATGAAAGAGAACGGAAAACGAAACATAAAACAACTTTTCAAAATTTCTGAAACAAGGCTCTCCGCTCAAGCGCAGCTTTGGTCGTTCGAGCGGATTGCAAAGCTTTGTAAGAGTATTGGTTGCACGAATTTTACGCTCAAGCGAGACTTTTGATGCTCGAGCGGGGAGTCTTGCAAAACATGGTTCACTCAAGCGTAAGGTTTGCCACTCGAGCTACCGTGCAATTCACTGTAAAACTTCTGGGCGATTGAATTTGACGCTCGAGCGAAACTTTCCTCGCTCAAGTGGACGGGTCGAATTCTAGGTTTTCCAGAATTTTGTTTGAAGCTCAAAACACAAATCCAAAGGTCCAATTTGAGTATAACTCACTCACTTATGCAAGAATACTCCCAAAAACATATATTTGAAGAGAACCTTCAACTATAGTTCAAAATTCTATAGGTTTAACAAATTTCAAACCATAAACTTTATATATACACAAATTGGCATAAAACTCCGTCAGTTAAAGAATTAGCCAAACCCCGCTTGGTGGATCTTATAATTTTACCTTGCCGAGCTCAAAGACACTTCCCCAGAGCTGGAAAATGGATGGTAAGCCACTGGCGGTCGTAAGAATGACTCGAAAGAAGGGCTCCAGACCCGATAGTAGCGATCAAATATTTTGGAATATAAATTGTAATATGTAGCATACAATAGTTGCTTTCCAATGCGGTTCCAAAATATTGGTCATTGGAAATTTTTCTTACCCTTTCCTAATAGCGTATAGGTTAAGGGTATTCTCAGATACCCCGAGAGGCATCCTTTCCGTATTTGTTGGGTTGGTAGAATTTTAAATTATATTTTTTGTATATATTTTGTGTCACGACCCAAACCCACCCCTATGGATTTAGACCATAATCGGCCAGTAATCTCGGATTACTCGGCCTCAAAGATAGAATTAACAAAAACGTTTAATATTAAATGGGCCAAAAGCGAAATTAGACTAATAAATTTTGTCCAACAAGCTGTACATATATGGCATATCATCGACATCTCATTTAGTTAATAACTCACATCCATTCATATACAAAAGATACTATAAAGTCTAAACCATTCACAAGATCATTAACATACAAAACTTAAAACTTGTATACAAACGAGGTCAAACATGACCAATGAAAACAAACATAAGACAAAAGCCTCATGCTTGAGGCATCCTGGGTTGACTCTAGAAAAACTCAGTGTTCCATCACAGGTTCACTAAAGCTGGGGTTGGACATCCCGTTGCTCACTAACATACATATATATAACAAAGTGAGCTAACGCCCAGTGAATAACATCATAGTAAAGTGATTATATGAATGAGTCCTATATACAAAAGTAAAATCATAAAGTAACCTCATTACATAGCAGAACGACCTCGAGTAATACATAACAGAATGACCTTGAGTCCATAGCAGTACAATATCGATTCCATCACATGACAGAATGACCTTGGGCCCAATACAACTGTATAAAACGGCCTCCAGCCAACACATAGCAGAACAACCTCAAGTCCATCACATGAGACATACAAAATGACCTCGGGTCCAACAGATACATTGCAAAAAACATACCGGGCAGACAGATAGAAGGCTCATTTATACTTTCAAATTCATAAGTACAGAAAAGCTTACCACATTGATACAGTCAGAAAATAGAATAAGAGAAAATATCTTTACTAAGATATTACTCACCTTGAGTAGGTTGATGTTCTTCCACAATGTTAAAACCTACATATTATACATGAACACATACATTGGAATACATAGTTCGAATCGAATAATTTATCTTCTCTTTCTAATTCAATCATTCATGTTGGTTTCTCACTTATTAGTTCCTTAATAAGTCACAATTCATCCTTAGAAATGCTCCGGAGAAGATGAGAACAAAGATACGAACACAGAATGGCATGTCAAAATGTGCTAAAAATGGCTTGACCGCTCGAGCCACCTTTTGGTCGCTCGAGCAAACTGCATGGACTACAAAAATACTAGGAAGGTCTTATGTTGGCTCGAGCTATCACTCCTTTGCTCGAACGATCTCACAGAATACAAAGGGTTCGCTCAAGCCACCAAGTGGTCACTCGAACAGTCTGTAGATTTTTTGGGTTTTCCATAACAGAATTTGAGCTCCAAAAATGAAAATCAAAGCTTTGGGTCATGCATGGCTCGTTCAAAAACACAAAGCTGCTTTGGAAAACATGTATACATGACCCCTCAAAAACCATTTGTTCAAAATCACTTTGAATCTACCAAAATTGAACTAAAAAACTCATGCATGAAAGTTTTTCCAAGTTTTTTTCTCAAAACTTATGAATTTAGCAAATTTGAGCTCAAAGGTTCCATGCATGTACAAAGCCCTTTTCCAAAACATGAATTTAAAAGTTAACACATGATGAATGAAACATGCATATACAAATTAACCCACAATTTCAACATGGATGCTAGAATTCAAACTCCACATGACAAAACTCAACATATTAATACATGCATGTAAAGCTTCTTTATCTTTGACCTTCTTTAACAAAATATATGCAAAAGATGATGTATAATCCATGAACACAACTCTAAAACATATCATCTTCAAGAATTGAGAGTTAAATGCTTGCCTAGAGGCTTTAAACATACCAATTCTAGCACAATTTGACCCATTCAAGCTAACTCTTCAAGTTTCCTTCAATCTCTACACTTTCTCTCTCTAGAATGTGAGTTCTCTTTCTCTCTAAAGCTCTCCCTCAGATTTGTGCACTCAAGAATGAAGAGAAAAATGAGCTCAAATGAGCTTAAGGCTCATATAAATAGCTAGAGTGGCTTATTACATTAATTAGAACATTAAGCTAATTAAACACAACTTAATTAATTAATCTGAATCAATTTTTAATCAAACTTATCATATGGTTCTAAAAATCTCAATTAGTCTATTCATGTAGCCAATTTTGTTTTCTGAAATCATTTAAGCCACCGATTTCGAATTCTAAACAGTAATCATAACAGATAGTTTTCAAATTAAACAAATATACTCAAATTAATTACATAGCACACATCACAATTAATAATATACACATAATTAAATAAATATAATCATGATATGCATGTTGGGGTCATCACATTCTGTATGGTTTAAATTAATATTTATATGGTTTGAAGGTTATATTTTATTGTTTTTATTATATGGTTTGAGTTAATATTTGTATGATTTGAATATTACTTTTTATTTTTATGGTTTGAGTTAAGATTTTTATTTTTATTTGTACTAGTCTCAACGGTTTCTCTTAGCAACTAAAATAATACTTTTGTTACAAAAAGTAAAAATCAT